AGTCTTGCTCTGTCTCCAGCTGCCAGGCTGGAGTTCAGTGGCTTGATCTCAGCTCACTGCAATCTCTGCCTCCCAGGTTCAAGCAATTCTCCTGCCTCAGCCTCCTGAGTAGCTAGGACTACAGGCACGCACCACCACGCCCAGCTAATTTTTGTATTTTAGTAGAGATGGGGAAGGACTACAGGTGCGCAACACCACGCCCAGCTAATGTTTGTATTTTAGTAGAGATGTGGTTTCACTACGTTGGCCAGGATAGTATTGATTGCCTGACCTCATGATCCACCCGCCTCGGCCTGCCAAAGTGCTGGGATTACATGCCAGGGAGTTTGAATTTAAGAGTGACATCCTAAGGTATCCGGCAGAAGAAATTTGTAATCAGTAAAATGTTCCAAAAGTGACATGGCTGTTTTTAACAGCCTACAATTAGATGCAGGAGCAAAGAAATGGTTTAAGGTTGAAACTTACATTGAAAAGAGAAGTACAGTATAAAAATTTGGAAATTTTACACCCCAGCCATGTGGTAGAGAAAGAAAGAGAATTTTCAGGAAAGGAATTCAAGTGGCCTATGGAACAACCATTTGCTAGAGAGATTAGCATGACTAAAAGGAAGCCAGATACTAATAGCCAAGACAATGAGAAAAGGCTTTGAAGGCATTTCAGAAATCTCTGAAGCAGCCCCTCTTATCACAGTCCCAGAGGCCTAGGATGAAAGAATGATTTGGGGGACTGGGTGTCACTGCCCTGCACCACCTCAGGAGTGTTGCCCACATCCTGGCTGCTCTGGCTCTCACTATGGCTCAAAGGGCCCCAGATACAGCCTAGGCCACTGCTTCAATGGACACAGGCCATAAGCCTTCGCAGTTTCCATGTGATGCTAAGCTTGCAGGCATACAGAACGTTAAGAATGAAGGAGGCTTAGTAGCTTCCACCTGGATTTCAGAGGATTTTTGAGAAAGCCTGGATGCCATGCAGAAGCTCTCTGCAAAGACTCTGCCCCTGCAGCAGGCTTCTGTTAGGGGAGTACTGAAGGGAAATGTGGGGTTGGAGTTCCTACAAACAGTCCTGCCCAGGGGAGCTGTGGGAATGAACCCACCCTCCAGACCTCAGAAGGATAGAGCCACTGGCAGCTTTCACTCTGAATCTGTAAAAAGCCACAGGCACTCAACTTCAACCCTTGAGAGCAGCCATGGAGGCTGCAACCTGCAAAGCCAGAGGGGCAGAGCTGCTCAAGGCCTTGGGAGCCCACCTGGCACACCAGTGTGCCCAGGATGTGGGAAACAGAGTCAAAGATTGTTTTGGACCTTTAAAGTGTGGAAACTGTTGCTCTTTTCTTTTAGCCAATTTCTTCCTTTTGGAATGGGAATGTTTACCCAATGTTTGTACCACATTATATCTTGGAAGTAAATAACTTTCTTTTTGTCTTACAGGTTCATAGGTAGAAATAACTTGAGTCTCAGGTGAGACTTTGGAATTTAGACTTGTGACTTTTGAATTAATGCTGGAATAAGTTAAACCTTTAGGGAACTATTGAGAAAGGATGTTATTTTGCAGTGTGAGAAGGACATGAGATTTGGGGTAAAAGGGTAGAATGTTAGTTTGGATATTTGTCCCATCCAAATCTCATGTTGAAATGTGATCTCCCATTGTTGGAGGTAGGGCCTGGTGGGAGCTGTTTAGGTCATGGGGGCAGATCCCTCATGAATGCTTGGTGCCCTCCTCATGGTCATGAGTGAGTTCTCACTCTGTTAGTCCATACTGGTTGATTAAAGGACCCCGGTACCTCCTCCGCTCTCTCACTCCCT